AACATTACCCTGAGGAGATCAGTTGGGCAAACTAGACCTTTGGAATCAAAATATGGAGGCATCAAAAGATTGATTCCTTTTGGGCATAAATGCAGACCATTTCTAGCTTACCAATCACATAAAAATAAGAGAGTGTTTCAAGAAGGAGCATGCCTGATCTTGAACAGAAATGCTTGAACTATCTCCTAAGCAAAATAATATTGCTCCTATCATAACAATTTGAATTCTATAGGTAGTGAAAGGCAATCAAGGAATTGATTCACTTTAAACAGATAATCATAATATTGATTCCCCATCAGCTGGCTAATCATTATTTTGATTCACAGGTAATGTTAACAGATAGGCAACAATGACTTGCAAGAATACAGCATTTATCTTGCTATTATTCTCATTTAGTGGTATCCTCAGCACCACAACTGATACCTATAGCATTGTTGTACTTAACCTTCACTACATTTGATAACAATTCACAATTTTTAAATGTCAAGAATACAAAAACTGAAGCAACAGGTAAAAACCATATAAATAATATAAAAGCACTACAAAAATGATAATTAGGGGTTTAAAAATTTCATTTTGCCATTTTACACAAATACTGATCAGTTAGTATGTGATTCATGATATAAAAATAACATACAGTGTGATTTCCTCAAAACAGGTTTTACGTGATGGACACTGGCTCTGTCTTTTTCCCATTCACAAGGCCAAAGGGACAATTTCTTAGCTTTGAGGTAACACTTTTTGCAAACCTACCACATTTTTCTACCTTTTAAAAGAAAAATCTCACCGTCATGGGCCTTTTTTCAACCGTAACGATTCATTTGAAGTCAAAAGTGTACCCAAATGAATCAAAAAATTGATTCCATGCCCATATTTGGTCATGGCTCCTCCCACCAGAATCAAATTATTGATGCCTCCATATTTTGATTCCAAAAGTCTAGTTTGCCCAACTGAGATGATCGTCTGCAATAGCAGGAAGAGCTGATGCAAGTACTTTGAAATCCACTATCAAGTCGGTGCTATTGTTGTAATGATCACTGTGAGGTGAGATATTTTGTGCAAGGGCTGAGTGTAATGCCCAGGAAATGACCTCCATTCGCCCCCTGACCGGTCAGGGTTATAAAATTTGAGTGGATGGCGGTCCGTTTGGGGTTCAGATGTCAATTGTATTTTGTTACTGTCAAACAATACATGTTATGCTGGCAGCGAATGTGTGTAACGTCGTTTTTCGAAGCAGAAGTTAGAACTGTAACGGCAGAGTGCTTGCTGGTCTCATCGTAAGTATTGTAAGTGTTGTAAGCAAAAGCATTGTCAATATTGTAAGTACCTATTGTGAGCATTGATGTATGGTAGATATCACCTCACATGATCTCGGCTCAGATAACCCTCTCCGGTGTCCCTGTCAGTAAATGGCACCTGGATCATTACAGATAAGATAATTTGTCATAATTCTTAAAGAATTGGGTGGTTTTGACTCGTTTACTCGAGGTGCAGGTCGCATTTCAATACTTTTCCATAGGCTTGCAATGTAAAGGTCACGACTCTGACCTAACCTCAGGTCACAGATCAAAAATTCTGAGATATACAAACGACACATACTGCAGGTACTTTTGAAGACTTGATGAGAGGAAATAACTTCGTGAAAAACTCAAGCTCTGACGTGTTTGCAAACTTTTCTGAGGTGGGGTCAACAAACCCGCTCTGGTTACCTGACCTGACCTGACCCGGCATTTTTTTTTTTTTTTGCTGAGATGTGCGCAATGAGCATTTAGGAAAAGTCACCAAATATGAGCTGAAGTCTCGCGGCGTTTGGCAATTGTACAAGAAAATCCTGAAAGGTCTCCCCGTCCGAAATAGGGTTAATGTGTATATGAAGAGTTGCAGATGCCAAACATACCCAGATCTAAGACTGCAGTTTCCAGCGCCGCTGCAACGTTTTTAAAACAAACATACATAGAACATACAAACATGTACATAGGATACATAGGATACATAGGATGACAGGCGAATAACCGCTCACGCAAGGAGCGGAGCTCCGCCCCGTCCAAAGTGGCCAACAAAGCAGAGACAGAGGCAGCATCACATCTTCCATCAAAGAACTGGTTTCTGGCTTGGAAGATGAGCTCCATCTTTGCATCCGAGTCGGTGCTGTCAGGAATCAGCTGGTCTAATGGAGTGAGAGTAGTGAGACGACTAGCTATTGTATCAGAGCTGCCTGGTCTTCGTAGCATTTGCACCGATTCTTCTCGATCGGACTCTGAATTCTGTTCCTCCTGCGTATTACTTGAGGCATTGCTATGTAGCTAAGTCTTTGGCAGAGTTTCATTATCCATGCTTTGCAAACAGTGCCATAACAACACAGTTAATTAATCACCAAGCTTCTTTGCAAGTTCCAATACAGTTGAATCGCACGCGATTTGAGTGCAAAAATCAAGAAAAGTGCCAACTTGTTCCCGTAAAATATTTTGAATATTGACCTAAAAAAATGAGTAATTTCCAGATAAAATAACAGCGAAATCAGTTTTCGCTTGCCAATAAAACTCACAGATATTGAAGCTCCATTATTAAAGGAACATTTTAGTATATGCCATTCTTGATAAAACTTCTTAGCCACGCAATACCAGCTCAAAATAAAGAGACACTGAAAACACGACCAATCGCTCCGATTTACCATAGGAAAATACATAGAAAATGTATGTCTCAACTGCGCCAAATATACAGACAGTTATATACCTACATGTGACGTCATGATTAGCCCGACCAATCAGAAGCAAGTTGTTTTCAGCCACAAATAATTAATTTCTGAATTAACTAGGCACTTTTTTAACAAAGTGATTTTAAATTAAATCATTAAAAATTCTGAGCTTTTTTATTTTACCAAAACATACAGAGCATGCAGATAGGTCCCAACCCTATTATTGTATGATCAAAGCGTATGCAGCGAAGTAACTAACTAGATATAGGTATAATTACTTGCCCGATGCTGAGCCTCAGCAGACGAATGGTTGCTGATTGACTGCAGGAGAAATGCCTGAGCAGTTCAATGACTAGGGGCCGCCGTCCGGTGTGGGATGGAGCTGCCCCCAGCGAACGTACGTAATGGGAATAGCTCCGGGCTATGTCTGGGCTGTTATAATCGCAGCCTGTGAACTATTCATCATCGCCCATCTCAGACGGATACGAGAGAGTGAGAACGAGAACGAGAGAGAGAGAGAGAGAGAGAGAGAGAGAGAGAGAGAGAGAGAGGGAGAGGGAGAGGGAGAGGGAGAGAGAGAGAGAGAGAGAGAGAGAGAGAGAGAGAGAGAGAGAGAGAGAGAGAGAGAGAGAGAGAGAGAGAGAGAGAGAGAGAGAGAGAGGGCGAGAAGAGATTGCATCAGTTCGCTAGCCCGGCGAAGTCGGAAGAAGACGAGCCAATGTTAGTCGGCGTCCCCCCCCCCCTTCTATATCTGTTCCGCCCACCCATAGTCAAACAGCTGCTACCGAAGGCCAGACATGCCGCTGCTGGGTGCCATACTGGAGAGGGCAACGTCCCCCATCAATTCAGCCGGCGTAAACACCAGATTGAGATCGCTTCCGTAGATCGCTGGAGGCGATGTGCCGTGAACAAATGGCCAAAGGTGGACGAGTGAGAGGTGGCGGGCTAAGGCTGCTTATTAGGGAAATGGCGTACCTACTGAGCATAAGTGTTCCAAATATTCTTTAAAATGGCACACTACTCGCTTGTAGCTCGTTCGTAGATAAAATGACTTTTGTTTTGTTTTGCCTCGTATGTGTACCTATCTGCTTTATGAAACCGCCTATTACCTTTACATGGATTCTCTGTGTTATGTAGGTAAGCACTGACAATGGTAAGATGTGGCTTGATTACATACTCGAGGTCCGTTGCAACTTTGCGCTTTTAAGCGATGACATAATTTCATGCAATTTTCATTCGGAAAAGATCACCCTTGAGTCGGCTCACAGGAACCTGCTAGGTTGCGCTATGAGAGCCAATTGTTGCAGAGTATCGGCTTTTCACAGATACGGACATAGTGCCTTGCTTTCAAAAGCTTAGCGGTTCCAGCGCTCTATGGTGTCGGCGACGGTGGCTTCTCATCCAATCCAGGAATTGCAGAGTGCCGGCCGTGTTTCCTCATCAGTGACGTCACGGCTTGCATATTGCGGCCGGGCCTTTGAGCTGGGGATCACCTCGGGGCCGGCTTATTGCGGTCGGCGGCCGTCTCCGGCGGCGGCCGGTGACAGCGGGTGGACCGGCCGGCGCCTCTGCCGGCTCATAGCCGGCCCCGTCCGTCATCTAAACGGGCCGAGAGCGGCGCTGCTTGGCAGCCACGGCGCTGCCGGCCGCCCTGTGAACGGCGCTGCCGGCCGCTGAGGTCGTGGTCGGCGGCCATTCCTGCGACCCGTCTCCGCAGGTCGACTTGATTTGAAAGTATTTTGAAGAAAAAAAAAATGCTGTCGCCTCTAGAGCTTTGTTATATAGTAGTTTAAGCTTTTAAGAATTTAGAATGATAAGCTTGTAAAAATATGTTTTTCACATTTTTACCCTTCTTCCCCCCAGCTATCACTTTCTCTCCATACCGAAAGTTATATAGCCTGTGTCTTCTATCAGCAATTTGTGGGAAAATATTAGGTACCTACAAATTAAGAAATATTTCGAGACCGAAATGCTGAGAGGACAAACGATCTCACACAAGTCGTTGTGAACTAACTGGTACGTGATTTGATTGGATAAATGTAGTTCTACAAATTACAATTTACCCTAAAGTTAAAAAAGACATAAAAAAGATTGCAAATTAAGGTGTTGACAAAGTCAATATCTCATGTAGGTAACTGCGTCTTAAACATAGTCCAAACCTAGGGCGATGCATGTTTTGACTGGATCTATGACTGGATTGATAATTCTTTTGATATGCAGAACATGCAAAAAAAAAAATGGACGAGAACGCTTCTGCGGTTTACCATCCGCGGCCATATGGATCGTGTCAGAAATCACGACCTTGAGTCGGTACTACCAGTTTATTTAGTTTCACTCTTCATGTCATGTCATTTATAGAGTGCATGGTGCATTTCGGAGTTCAATATGTATACATTAACGCTTAACGATATCGTACATACAGTCGCAATCGAGCAAGGTTTCATCATAAAATCGAGGATGGACACCTTATAACATCATACAACCGTGAGCGCGGAAGGAGACTGATTCAGCTAGGGTTGAGCAGATAGTTGCTGATAGCTCTCCTAACGATTAAATCGTTTATGTCGAAATGCTAAGAATAAGAGTCATGACATTGACAACAGCGTTTTGGATGCACAAAAAAAAAACAACTTTTATTATCTAGTCAGAAAATGACCAGGCAGTACTCGATTTCTTGCTTTAGGATGGGAAATATTTGTGTTACTTATGTAGCATTTTGCTATCAAATGTTTCCATATAAATAATTTTTAATTTCTACAACTTACATGCAACAAATCGTGCTAAACCTAAAACATGCTGCCTTGAACTTCGATGTTGAAGTTCAACGTAATGCCGCATGTTCTTAAAGCCAAGCCACGACATGACCCGATGGACATTGAGGAAGCCACATTTTCAAAATTTGTTTTATGACCGTTCTTTATCAACTAGGCAGACATTGGAAGGGTAAGGGTGACCTCTGTAGAACGCCTCAGAGGGACGCTTGGCCTATCATTCCAATAAGTTGTGTTATAATTTATATCACTCTAATGTATCTATGCATAATGTATGTACATATACATATGTGCTATTCACTCCATAATATAGTTACGAGTAACGTAACACTTTGGCAATCATATAGCGTCGTCATCTATAACGGCATCCTTTTATACCCCGACAGCAATGTCAATGTCACCTAACACAATCCCCTCAGGTCGACCGTTTTTTTTTTCTCTGTACAATACGCACAAACTCTCCCGAATAGGAGATAACGGCGCACGGGGCTACACCTCTGTCTCTCGACTGGGCCGATGCGCTGGTTGGTGCGCAGCCGAGCCCGGGTCTCCTCTTACGGTCGGCGGCGGGGGCGGATAGTCCGTCAGTACGGGCGACTGGTGACGGGCGGGCGGCGGCGGATAGTCCGTCAGTGCGGGCGACTGATGGCGGGCGGGCGGCGGCGGATAGTCCGTCAGTACGGGCGACTGGTGGCGGGCGGGCGGCGGGGGCGGATAGTCCGTCAGTACGGGCGACTGGTGACTGGCGGGCGGCAGCGGATGGCGGGCCGGTACGGGTGGAGGGTGACGGACCGGCAGCGGCGGCTGGTAGCCCGGCTGGTGACCCTGATAGCCCGGGTGGTAGTCTGGTTGGTGACCCTGGTAGCCCGGGTGGTAGTCTGGTTGGTGATCCTGGTAGCCCGGGTGGTAGCCCGGCTGGTGGCCGGTCTGCAAGGGAGCCTGGTGGCCCGGCTGGTGGTCCGTCTGGTAGCCTATCTGATGGCCCTTCTGCAGGGACGGCTGATGGCCCGCCTGCAGGGGAGCCTGGTGACCGGTCGGCGCCGCGCCGGCCGGCCACTGCTCCAGTCATAAAACCGTGTCGAGCATGTTGAGCGAGCGCAGGAAGTCTGGGTCGCGCGCGCACCACTGGCGCAGCTCCTCCAGGGTCAGCATGCCGTCCTTGTTGACGTCGATTTGCTGAAACAGACAGCAAAGCGGTCCTAAATCGTACTAAGCCGTCCTAAACGGTCGGTGCGGGTGACTACCAATGCAAAGATTATGTACAAACAGTGGGTATAACACAATAACAGAAGCACAGCTTCTACATCATTCCTCAGTCGTGAGATTCTCATCTCACTACAGTCTGCATGTTTTACAATCGTAACTGAATTTTGATCGATGCATTTTCCGTTCATGCAATATCTACGAGTACCTATAGTGAGCGTATGTAACAGACATACACGTGAAAGGTGGTTCTATAAGTTTGGTGATGCTATAATCTTGATATGGCAATACTTCCTTAGGACAAGTCGTGAGTTAAAAGGATGCTATTTTCTGACTTATCAGTTGGTTTCAGGTCAGACCATTTTGTATCCCGTTACCTTAAAATGGCTGGCAATGTGAACTGAGTGCAGCTGACCGCGCCAACCGTCGGGCCGAATTATAGATAACTCGGCGAGTGTTAAATTATTGCCGCTCGCCATTGCAGCCGGGGCTACCTGAGAGCCCGGTGTAAATGTTTGAGTGGCCCGTTAGCTTGTTCCGACCGAGCAGTTCCCGATTCAGGCCGAGAAATGCTCACACCCTTGCAATCGTAACTGCTAACGTTACTGCCCTGGTCTCCACGCGGAAAGCACGGAACAGCTGAACGCATGCTATTTCGATCGCTTGCTTTTTCCAGAGACGCAGTATGCAATAGTGCATAGCAAAGTATTAAATACACAATACACTAGCGATATATAATATTGTTCATTTTGAATTGTATTGGTTTTCAATATATTTTTGATTGATTGATTGATTGATATCTCATCGAAGCAGATTTACCGTGCGGTGGACTCATATCAGACATTTAATAAGGCATTAAACCAACTTTTAGTTAGTAGGTGACTGCTGCTTAGTCACATTTGTCGGGAGAACGACATAGGTGCATACCAGGTGCTGAAGGGTCACACCAGGTGTTGTATGGCCACAGAAGGGTCACTCCAGTGAGTGTGGTGTCTCGAAGGCACTTGAGAGGGCGTGAATGACCAATCAGGGCCACCCCAGCTAGTTGGAGGTCATTCAGTGTCACTAAAGGTTACAGTAGGTCGTTCAGAATGGCACTGCTGCTGACACAGCCCTTCAGGGTCGTTCGGGCGGAGTCTTAGCCTGTTGAAGTCTCCAACGGATAAAGGGGTCACTCGCGGTTCCGTCAACCTCAACACACAGACGGCCTTTGAGTCTCCCCAAAGGATGTCAGATCACCCATGGCCCCCTATAGGTCAGAGAACAGTCGACTACTCACGTGGAATATGGTGTCTACGTGGTTCCTGGCGGCGTGCTCGTCCAGGTGCGGGTGCACGTGCCGACCGAGCATGTCGTAGATGGCGGTGACCACCAGCTGCATCTCGTGCTTGGTGATGAGCCCGTCGCCGTCCAGGTCGTACAGGTCAAACACCCAGCGCACCTTCTCGTCGGTGGTGCCGCGCGACACCCGCGACAGCGCGTGAAGAAAGTCCTGTCGGCGGCAGACATCAACAGGCGACAGAGTTTACAGCGGTCCGAACAACACTGCGAGCCGGGCCGTCACACCTGGCATTGATCCAGCGGCAGAGGCCACGGCCAGAGGTATCAAACGGGGACCATAAACCGGGACCAGAGTCGGCCTGCGTAATATGGCATGGATATCGGTCGCGACAATAAAGGAGAGGAGAACTCGGGATAGCGATCCTGCTCTTTTGAATTTATTTAATTCAATGGCATAACGTGGCACGTGACAGCATTGCTCTTTGCACGTTAGGTACCATTTTCATGGAAATCGGCTTCGATAGTCGATAGCTAATTTGCAAAATAGAGATGATGCATATTGCATAATGCATCGTCATATCAAATACCAGTAAAACGCCTTTTGGGCGAAGAACGAGCGACCCCGCAGGGGGCTGACCGTGGTCGGAGCTGCTGCTTAGCCGGGGTCATCTGGCTCCGGCTGTGCGGCGGCTGTGACTTCGGCCAGTAAGGGGAGTAGCGCCCCCTCGGCCCCAGCTTGACGCGCGTTTGACCTGGACTTGCCTTGCTTACTGGATGGATTGTCTGCAGGATTGGCCCCGCAGGGGGTTGGCAGTGGCCCGGGTCGCTGTTGGTCTGGGTTCCTTGGGCCCTCGCCCCGCGGCGGCCCTGGCCTCGGCCAGCAAGGGGAGTAGCGCCCCCTCGGCCCCAGCTTGACCTGTGCTTGCTTACGACTTGCTTTGATCGCTGGATGGACAGATGGTACGGCCCGACTTTTTTTGGTTTTCGTGGTTTTGTTTCTCTTGAGCGGTCTTTGTTTGCTTTTGCTTTGCTTCTCACCGGATGTCCGCGTTTCGTTCGATCACAGCCTTCTGATTCCTTTCCTACCCCTTTTTCGTTGTTTTTGCACCCGCAGGAACACAGCCGAGTTGGGCTAGTGTAAGGGGAGTGGCGTCCCCTCGGGTACCAGCCGGTTTTACTAGGCTAGGCGAGCCGACCCGTACCCCAGGACAACGGGATCCTGGAGGTTGAGCCCCCCACCGTGCGGAGCCAGTCGCGGTGGCTGGGCAACACGCCTCTTTGGCCCTGAGTTCTGTAAGGACGGGACACTCAGTGGGGCGCCGCACTTGAGGAGCCATTCCCAGTCGTGATGCCGCCGGGGGTGGTGTTGGAGAGGTGTCGCCGGCGGGGTTCGGGCACTTGTGCTCGTCCTCCGTCGGTGGGGCTGATCTGTCGCTGCCCCTGGCGGTGACTCGGCGAGGCGTCAAGGGAGGAGGCGGTATCCGACCGTGGGGGGTGGTGAGCCTCTCTCTCCCCCTCGGAAGGTGCCGCCAAGTCCCGTACAGTCAGCTCGGCCGTCCCAGGCCTTGTAGCGGCGCCGTTGCGGAGCGTCGGCGGCCGAGCTGGCGGAGACCAACTCTTTCACATGGATAACTTGACCGATCCCCCTTCCCCCCAGTCCAATCCCTCGGCCTCGGCCGATCCTCGCCCGTTGGCCTCGGCCGACAGGCGAACGGTGCTCGACAAAGGTCCACGATCTCCTAAGATCCTTATCTTCCGGAGCGCAGACAGGGAGCTGAGCTCTCTGTCGCCCTTCCAGCGGAAGGATGGCTGCGACCGGTTTGGTTCAATCGTTCGTTGTGACCGGATGCGTGATGGCGCGCTGGAGGTCGAGTTCAGGAAAAGCGAGGAGGCGGCGAAAGCGTTGGACGCTACTCGCTTCGTATTCTCCGAGGGACGGGCATCCGGCCGGAGGCTCGTCTCCATCCCGCTTACAGTGGAGCCCCACCGCTCTAAGAACTCCTCACGAGGGGTCATTAACTGCTTCGATCTGAGGGGAGTGAGCGACGAGGATATTGCGGACGGGCTCGCCGATTTCGGCGTGACAGCGGCTCGCCGCATCATGACGAAGAGAGGCACGGTCTCGACCAACAACATCATTCTGACTTTTGACTCTACTGACTTGCCGAGTGAGATTCGCGTGGGCTACGTGAAGGTTCGCGTGCGGCCTTTCGTCCCAGCGCCCATGCGCTGCTTCCGCTGCCAACGTTTCGGCCACACAAAGGACAACTGCCGAGGAAGACCCACGTGCTCCAAGTGTGCTTCGCAGGACCACACTGACGAAACCTGTGACTCGGAGACCCCCCGATGCGTCAACTGCGGAGAGGGGCAGACGCCGCACTCCGCGTATGATAGGTCTTGCCCTGCATACGTCAAGGAGAAAGAGATCATGACCATCAAGGCTACCAGAAATTTGTCTTTCAAAGAGGCCCGGGAGGTGTACAACCAGAGTCACCCGAAGACCTCGTATGCCCAGAAGGTGAGAGTCACAAACTCTACCGATGCCTCCCAGATGAGTGTAGCACAGCTCGTGCAGCTTCTCAAACGATTCGGCCTCACCGTCGTAGCCACTGGTGACTCAGCGGACACCACGGCGCCTCGTGCGCCGCCGAGCAACACAGAGCAGGCTGCTCAAGAGTCAGTGTGGGGTCCACCCAGTCCCGTTCCAGCCGCGAACGGTGATGGAGACGGCTGGGCCGTCGTCCAGCGCCGACAGGGTGGTCGGCGCCCCCCGGCGCAGGGTAAGGCGCCACCCACCCCGCCCCGCCCCCGACCGTCTACGGCGGTGCAGGAGGCTCTGCGGCGGGGGGAGGAGGAGAGGAGGGCACGTGAGGCGAGGAGGGCTCGCCTCGTCCAGAAGGCCCTCGAGGCTAAGGAAGCCTCGTCTGCCGACTCCGCCTCCGGGAGTGCCAACGCGGCCGCCGCCGCTGACACCCCGGAGACACCTGAGGCGGGGACTCGGCCCATCATGGGTCCCCCGCCGCCTCCTCCACCTCCGCAGCGGCGGCCACCACCGCCGCTGCCAGAGACGCCTGTGTCGAGGACACAGGCCGCCGCCTCGACATCCCCGTCGGGGCGGCAACAGTCCTCCGCGGCTCCAGGGCGCCTCGCCAAGCGGCAGACGCCCCCGAGCTGGTCGCCCTCGGAGGGTGACGCCCCTCGGGCGAAAAAGCCCCAGCAGGGCTCGAGCCATGCCCGATCTGCCTCCGCTGAAGGGAGGCTTCACCGAGAGGGCTCGGGGCACCCCCGCATCCGTTACGGGGGGAGCGCCTCCTCGGAGTTAGAGGACCTAGTCTAGTCTTTCAGTGTAGTCATTTCCTCTTTTATCCTTTTATCTTTTTCGCGCTATTGCGCTTTTTTACCAGGTGCATTTCTCTCGGTGTTTTTTACCTTTTTTGTGGTCAGTCAGGTATCTGCGTGCGCCTTTGCCTCATGTTATTCGCGCCCTTTTTGCGCCTTTTTAACCACGCCTTTTATTCTACAGTGGAACTGTAGAGGCCTCCGGGCCAACTACCAGGACCTACAGTCTCTTATCCGTTGGCGCACACCCCTTGTTTTAGGTCTCCAGGAGACCAAGCTAGCGCCAAACGTTACCTTTGCCATCAAGGGTTACTCAGTTTTTAGAAGAGACTTAGACACTCCGACCATTGCCCATGGAGGTGTACTTTTGGCAGTGCACCACAGTGTGCCCACACGTCAGGTTCCGCTGCAGACTCCTCTGCAGGCGGTAGCCGCTAGAGTTGATTTCAACCACCGGGAGCTGACAGTTTGTTCTTTATACCTTCCACCAGGTATAGCGCTCCCGGTGGTTGAGCTGCATCGACTTGTCGATGAGCTTCCACCTCCGGTCCTGGTAGTCGGCGATTTTAATGCCCATAGCCTGGCGTGGGGATGCGACACGACTGGCACTCGTGGTCGACTTTTAGAATCTTTTATCCGCGATGAGGCGCTGTGTATTTTAAATACAGGACAGCGCACCCATTTTACAACACCCTCCGGTCAAACATCGGCTCTGGACCTGAGCTTAGTCAGTCCGCGGCTAGCTCAGCTTTTTACCTGGTCCGTCCATGACGACCCACTCGGGAGCGACCACTTCCCAGTGTGGCTGGAGCACCAGGAGTCCCCAGTGTCAGGCAACCGTCCACCTAGGTGGAATGTTCGGAAAGCCGACTGGGGCGAATTCCAGGCCGCTGTAGAGGCTTCTGTTTTATCCAGAGCCGACCCCTCTGTGATGTCTACAGAGGATTTTACATGTTTACTCATTGACTCCGCAAACGGGTGCATACCCAAGACGTCGAGTCAGCCTCGTCGTCCTCCGGTCCCGTGGTGGACCAAGGAATGCGGAGATGCGATTCGTGCCAGGAAGCGCGCTTTTAGAAAGTTTGACCGGAGTAGTACTACTGAGAACCTCATCGCTTTTAAGAGAGCGCGGGCTTTTGCCCGACGCGTTTTAAAGGAGGCAAAGGCTGTTTCATGGCGCACTTACGTAAGTTCCTTAAACCGTTTTACTCCTACGACCCAAATATGGGCACGCATGAAGCGCATTGAAGGCCGGTTCAGCTCTGTTCCGCTTCCGGTTTTAAGGGTGAACAACACGGACATATCTCACCCTTCAGACGTCGCAGAGACGATAGGCCGTGCACTCTATCAGCGCTGCCGAGGAGAGCCGTCCTCACGACCTGCACCAGCCGCCGTGGACTTCAGCACAGCTGAAAATTTGGTGTACAACGAGCCTTTCTCTATGGCTGAGCTCACGTCTGCCATCAGCTCGTTGCGCAGCGTCTCAGAAGGTCCGGATGCTGTCCACAACGACATGCTCCGTCATCTCCCCACAGTTGCCCTCGAGGCGCTGCTAGCAACCTTCAATTCGCTTTGGGAGACTGGCACCTTCCCTGAGACCTGGCGGGAAGCCATTATCATTCCTATCTTGAAGGCTGGCAAGTCGGGACATGACCCTCTCCATTATCGGCCCATCTCTCTCACATCATCGCTTTCAAAGCTGATGGAGAAGATGGTCAATGTGCGTTTTAGCTGGTTTCTGGAACATCACGGTGTTTTTACAAACGCCCAGTGCGGTTTTAGAAAGCACCGCAGCCCTGCTGACCACATTTTAGCCCTTGATTCCGAGATACGCACCTGTTTTACTGAAAAGAAGCACCTTGGAGCACTGTTCTTTGATATTGAGGCGGCCTATGATACAGTCTTACGACACAGCATACTTTCCAAAGTATATAAGTACGGCATACGCGGCCGGATGGGCCTCTTTATCAAGAATTTTTTATCGGGTCGTCGGTTTAAAGTCCGAGTTGGCAGTGATTTCTCGAGCAGTTTTACCCAGGAGAACGGAGTTCCCCAGGGTGGGGTGCTCAGTGTGGCGTTGTTCGCGGTGGCAATCAATGACATCGTCGACGACCTCCCGGTTTCCATCGGGAGATCGCTTTTTGTCGACGATTTTGCCATCTGGTTTGCTGCTTCAAGCGCTCGACACGCGGCTAGACAGCTGCAGCTCGCCGTAACACGTTTGGAGAGGTGGAGCGGTAAGAATGGCCTTCGTTTTTCCACAGCGAAGACCGTGGCAATGCACTTTTGCCGCCGACGTTGTGACGACCTAGCTTTGGGAATCAAGCTCTACGGACAGGTGATTCCCACTCGGCCGGTGGCGAAGTTTCTTGGGATTTATTTTGACAGTCGCTTGACGTATAAGGAACATTTTAGAACGCTTCGGGAACGGTGTTTTAAATCCCTGAACGTTTTAAAATGTGTTGCTCGCACATCTTATGGTGCGGACCGCAGGACCCTTCTTCTCCTGTACCGATCGATAGTTCGGTCGAAGCTGGATTACGCTTCTTTTGTCTACGATTCAGCGAGCCAATCCAGCAAAAAGGTCCTCGACGCAGTCCATCATGCTGCAATCCGTGTCGCCACCGGAGCATTCCGCACCTCGCCCAGCAGCAGCCTTCTTGCTGAGGCGCACGAGCCGCCTCTATCCCTACGCCGCCAGATGCTTGGGATGCGATATGCGCTGAAACTGCGTCAGTTCCCGACGCATCCGACGTATCCGTACGTCTTCTCCACCTACTACACTCGACTTGACAGAGCGCGACAATCGCTCTGCTTTGGAGCGCGCATGAGAGGTCTCTTCTCCGCAGCCAACATAGGTTTACGTGTCGTACGACGTAGCTGGGGTACGTCCTCTCCGCCTTGGAAACACGCAAAACCTCAAGTAGATCTCTCACTCTCCGAAGTTAAGAAGGATGACTTGCTGCCTTGTGAGGCGCGAGTCAGGGCCTTGCAACACATCGTCTCGTACGATGGTTTTAACACCGTTTTTACAGACGGATCAAAAACACCTGAGGGAGTGGGATGTGCTTTTATCGCAGGTCGCGATACCCGCTCATTCTCTCTACCTTCTTTTGCCTCGGTGTTTTCATCTGAGCTAGTCGCCATCGAGAAGGCTCTGTGTTTTATCGAGGTGTCGGACGGCCTTTCTTACCTGATTTTATCGGACTCCCTAAGTAGCCTTTTGGCGTTACGGAGTTTTAATCCAGTTGACCCGATCGTTCAAGACATTTTAGCTCGACTTCAGTCAGTGGAACAATCGGGGAAATTTGTTCAGTTCTGCTGGATTCCCAGCCACGTCGGCATACACGGCAACGAGCTGGCAGATGCGGCCGCGAGGCGCGCGGCCGCAGCCTCCTGCACTCGACGTCTGCCATTGCCGGCGCGTGACCTTTATTCGGCTGTGCGATCTTTCATTCTCTCTGAGTGGCAGGCAGAGTGGAGCCTACGTGGAGGCGGAAAGCTCCGTGAGGTGAAGCCGACTTTGGAGCCATGGAGGTCTTGCTTGCAAGACAACCGGTCCAACGAGGTGATCTTGTGCAGGCTCCGAATCGGCCATACATATGCCACGCATGGCCACCTCCTCCGCGGAGACGAGCAGGCCATTTGCAACGGTTGTTCCGCGCCTCTTACCGTCGCTCACGTGCTCTTATCTTGTCCACTTTTAGAACCAGACCGGACGCGCTACCTCGGCCGCATCGCTCCGGGTACCACTGTCCGCCACCTGCTGGGTGACGAGTCACCCTGGGTTTTATCTGGCAACATCTTTCCTTTATCCGTGCAGTCAAATTCCAAGCGATTTACTCGACCTGACCCAAATCCTCTCTAGTCTCCTTGTCTAGTCAGTTGTCTATTACGACGCTTTTGCGTTGTTTTATTTTACCCTGTCCTTTTTTTTATAAAGTCTTCTACTTTCTAGTCTTGATATCTAGAAAGTTTCTTCTTTTGAAACACTTGTTTTACTAGCGCGACGTTATGGGCGCAAAATGACTTTGCAGTCGACGCGCCCTAAAGCCCCAATAAACAAACAAACAACTCAAGAGAACGGAGTTCCCCAAGGCGGAGTTCTCAGTGTGGCGCTGTTCGCTGTGGCGATCAATGATATTGGCGACAAACTTGCACCATCCATCGGCAGATCGCTATTTGTCGATGATTTCGCGATCTGGTTTTCTGCCACGACCGCCCGTCACGTTGCCAGACAGTTGCAGCTCGCTGTAACCCGTCTAGAGAGGTGGAGCGACGACAACGGCCTACGTTTTTCAACAACGAAGACGGTCGCTATGCACTTTTGCCGCCGCCGCTGCGACGACTTAGCCTTGGGAATTAAGCTCCGTGGACAGGTGTTTCCTACTCGGCCGGTGGCAAAGTTTCTTGGAATATTTTTTGACAGTCGTTTGACGTATAGAGAACATTTTAGAACGCTTCGGGAACGATGTTTTAAATCCCTGAACGTTTTAAAATGTGTCGCCCGCACATCTTATGGTGCGGACCGCAGGACGCTCCTTCTTTTATATCGGTCGATCGTCCGATCGAAACTGGATTACGCATGCTTTGTTTACGACTCTGCCAGCGAATCCAGTAAAAAGGCTCTTGACTCCGTGCACCACGCGGCGCGACGTGTTGCCACAGGTGCATTCCGCACGTCGCCCAAGAGCAGCCTCCTCGCCGAGGCACACGAACCGCCACTATCTCTCCGCCGTCAGATGCTGGGGATGAGGTACGCACTGAAACTCCGCCAGTTCCCAGGACATCCGACGTATCCGTACGTCTTTTCTCCTGATTTTAATCGTCTTGACAGAGTGCGACAATCGGTCTCCTTCGGATTGCGCATAAAAGAGCTCTTTTCTACAGTCAACATAGAGTTCCGTGAAGTGCGACGTACGTGGGGTACGCCCTCTCCGCCATGGAAATACGCTCCAGCGCAAGTAGACCTCACGCTCTCTGAGGTCAAGAAGGACGACCTGCCGCCATGTGTGCAACGAGCACGGGCATTGGAACACATTGCGTCATACGACGGTTTTATCTCGGTGTTTACAGACGGCTCGAAAACGGAGGACGGCGTCGGCTGCGCTTTCGTGGCTGGTCGCGACACGCGCACTTTTTCATTGCCTTCCTCTGCCTCCGTTTTCTCATCCGAGCTCGTTGCAATCGAGAAGGCGTTGTGTTTTATCGAGGTGTCTGACAACTTGTCTTACCTCATTTTATCGGATTCTCTCAGCAGCCTGCTGGCCATACGGAGGTTCAACCCAGACAATCCGATAGTCCAAGACATTTTATCTCGGCTCACGTCGGTGGAGCAGTCAGGCAAAACTATTAAGTTTTGCTGGATTCCAAGCCATGTGGGTATAACTGGCAATGAGCTCGCCGACGCGGCCGCGAGACGCGCGGCCGCGGCTCCATGCCTTCGGCGTTTGCCCCTGCCGGCTCGTGATTTTTACCCAGCCATCCAAACCTTCACGATGTCAAGCTGGCAGGCAGAGTGGCATCTCCAAGGATCTGGGAAGCTGCGGAGCGTGAAACCTACCTTGGAGCCCTGGCAGTCTTGCTTCCAAAGCAACAGGCACCAGGAAGTGGCCCTCTGCAGATTACGTATTGGTCATACGTGCGCGACTCATGGCTATCTCCTCCGTGGAGAGGAACAACCCACATGCAGTCGGTGTGCCGTGCCTCTCACTGTCTCTCACGTGCTTTTATCTTGTCCTCTCGCTGAACCGAACCGGACACGCTATCTCGGGCGCATCGCTCCGGATACCACTATCCGCCACCTTCTGGGTGACGACTCACCCTGGGTTTTATCCGGCAACATTTTTTCCTTTATCCGTTCGATCAACTTCCAAGCGATTTACTCGACCTGACATTAAAACCAACTAGTCCTCTCTAGTCCTTACATCTAGTCAGTTGTCTAGGACGACACTCTTGCGCTGCTTTATCTTACCTTGCTCTTTTATATCGAGTCTTTTACTTTTTAGTACTCGTATCTAGAAGGTTCTCTCTTTTGACACACTTGTTTTATTAAAACGACGCTATGGGCGCAAAATGACCTAAGTAGTCGGCGCGCCCTAAAGCCCCAATTAACAAACAACAAACAAACTCCCAGCGCCTCTAGTGGACGCGGTACGGGCGCCCAGCGCCTCTAGTGGGCGGAGTACGGCTCCCAACGTCCCTAGTGGGCGGAGTACGTGCATCCAGCGCCTCTAGTGGACGGAGTACGGCTCCCAACGTCTCTAGTGGGCGGAGTACGTGCATCCAGCGCCTCTAGTGGACGGATTCGCGGACAAACGTACGGATCGGAAAATTACGTTGGACAAAAGTACCCAGTACGCACACAAATGTGGGTGCGCAAAAATACGCAATGACAAAAAATATGCATCGTGAAAAAAACTCACGCGACCTAACCTAACCTAACCTAATATATGTAGTCCTTAGAATCCACGTGCTTCCGGGAATGGACGTTTGAATCTGTCTCGTTTAGAGCTAAGTGTGCCCGCCATGGCTTCTTTTATTCGCTCTGGAAACGCGATGATTTTTTTTTAGTATGCCTAGTATGCTTAGGGTGAATAGGTCAAAAACGCCCCCATTAAGCGCGAAACCTTCTGACACTCAACCCAACCCAGATTACTCAAACCTTTGGGCACCATCATGTAGCTCATTCTTTTTACTACGCTTTGAGACCAAGAAATGACACTTGCGTGTGGTATTTAACCCCCCAAAAAGGTTTCCCATACCCTTACAAAGGGCGTTTTGCCCCACACCCTGGGTAATACGCCCACACCCATGTGCAAAGCGCCCCCACCCCATCCATCAACAGAAAATGATGAACATGGCAGAACTTGACGTCATTCTGACGTCATTTGTGGTCAACCTATCATAGCCTTTGGAATAAAATGTTGTTGCAATGTGTAAAATGGATGCCCGGAGGAGTCCTGAAAGTTTGGTGACGATATCTGCAGTCGTTTAGGATATATCAGCAAAAAAGGACAGGGAGTGGCCTTTTCGGCCCCGACCTACAGGGCGCCACCTTGCACTCTCACCACCGTGCAAAACGCCCCCCTTTCAGAAAACTG